TATTAATTATATATTATTTTATACACATATTAATTATATAATTATTTTATACACATATTAATTATATAATTATTTTATACACATATTAATTATATATTTATTTTATACACATATTAATTATATAATTATTTTATACACATATTAATTATATATTTATTTTATACACATATTAATTATATAATTATTTTATACAAATATTAATTATATAATTATTTTATACACGTATTAATTATATATTTATTTTATACACATATTAATTATATAATTATTTTATACACACATATTAATTATATAATTATTTTATACACATATTAATTATATAATTATTTTATATCGTACATGCCTATTTTTCAACTATCATATTTCATATATTGATTTAGCCCCCCAGTGGCACGGCGACATGTCTGCGGACTTACAACACTAGAATCCCGGTTTTGATACCCGTGGTTGGCACAGCACATATGGCTCATTGTGTAGCTTAGTACTTAACAACAACCAAACCAAACTAGGTCCCGTTGAATTATATTAGCATTAATGTTACGTACTCCTCTAAAACCTGTATACATGTAGGCTTAGTGTGGTTATTGATAACTAACTCACATCTCACCGTGACAAAAGGTTTAGTCTGGTTTGAAATTGACCTAACTTAGTGATTAACAACAAATTTAATGATTGACCTTCGTCTTTTACTCGCTGAAAAGTAAAATTTTATTGATGAGAAAAAAAAAACACATCGTTAACAATCCTTTCCCTGAAGAGGGAAATGACACGCTTTCCAACTGATGGAATCATGTTTACATCAGGACACATCAGTCATATAGTATTAGAAACTAACTATAGTACCAATTAATTATGTAAACAATCCTTTCCAGGTTACCCTGAAGAGGAAGATGACCGACTTTTCCAACTGATTGAATCATGTTTACATCAGGACACATCAGTCATATAGTATTAGAAACTAACTATAGTACCAATTAATTATGTAAACAATCCTTTCCAGGTTACCCTGAAGAGGAAGATGACCGACTTTTCCAACTGATGGAATCTTCATACAGTACCCCAGTAAGACACAGCAGTCATATAGTATTAGAAACTAACTACAGCACGCCACGTCCAGCAAAGAGAGTTGAGAGTCTATACTCGGCATCCAGGGAGTTATGTGGGATTAGTCCCCCAAATAAAAGCCCCAGGTTAGCTAAGGTAAGAATATACAACGGGTCAGTTGGTTGTTTTCTCTTTTATTTTCAATACTTATGACCTTTTACTCGACCTTATGACCTCAAAAAACCAAAAATAATGGTATTCTATTACGGTTTTCTAATTCCTCTGTCATCCTATACCTAGATAACCTCTAGAACCGGGCGTGGCTAGTAGTTAGCGTGCCAGTCTGTGAATCCGGGGGTCCATGGCTCGCGTCACGTTACCTTAAAATCGTACTCCGCGTTTTTCATGCTTTATATTCGATTAGTGAGGCCCTAGAGTTCGCGATAGGCGTTGTTCGCTAGTTGCCTTTTTCTCTAGTCTAACAGTTCATAATGAGGGGCGACTATGTGTAGATAGCCCTTGTGTAGCTTTGCACGAATATCCGAAAGAAACAAACAGACAGCTGTGACCACTTGAAGTCACCATTTCAAATCTGTGTTCATCAAAGACAATTTAACCAAAACAACAATAACTTGAACTTCAAAGTAATCGTTTGGTTACCGTTTGTTTTAGCACGTCGATTGAAAGTGATGTATTAAATGAAAATTATCGAGTGTTTTAAAATATATTTATTCATATCCAATAAGGGAATTATCACTCAGGTAGGAAATTGTATACAACGTCAAGTTTTCAGTATTTTGTTTTTATTATCAAAATAAATTGTAAATTGTTTCAGGAGACGACATTTAATTACTTTGATATCTGACGTTTGGTGATTTTGTTATTCATTGGCATGTGGCTTAGTGCTTATTAACTGCTTGGTTTCTTATTATTTGTCACGTGACTCGGTGTTTATTAACTGCTCGGTTTTTTTTTTTAGGCCCAGGACATCACGTATGCTGAGTTAGCCTTGCCTGGAGTAGGTCAGTGTTCTTCAGCAGTTAGACGACACGAACTACCAACAGAGTACGCCCAGATCGACTTCATAGGGCAGCACCATCTAGAGTATGAAGATTGCAGCGCCACCTGTGAGACGCCATTGATGAGCAGTAGCAGGTGGGAAAGTGAAGTTTAGAGTTGGAAAAGTTTCTACAACGGGGACCAATTGTATATAAGACAAGTATTAAATCTTTTAGTTTATAATTACGACACATTGGTTAAGATGCGTATCTTAAGAAATGCCCCCCAGTGGCACAGCGGTATGTCTGCGGATTTACAATGCTAGAAACCGGGTTTCGATACCCGTGGTGGGCAGAGCACAGATAGTCCATTGTGCAACTTTGTGCTTAATTTAATACAACAACAACAACAACAATCTTAAGAAATAAATAACTCACTTTGTTTTAGCAAAGGAAAAATAAAATACAAATTATATCCAACCTGTGCTAACTATCGGTGAACGTCACGAGCTCCCTTATTTTCTTTGTAAATCTCTTCTCGAATGTCACGTGTCCACTAGGGGGATTGGGTCTGGCAGACCTCCATTGGAGAGTTCTGCCCCCAGCAGCATCCTATCTGAAATTCAGTATTTTAAGATTTAGAATTCTCTACATTGTGACTGTCACTGATATGAAACTGTTAAGTTTTTCTACATTGTGACTGTCACTGATATGAAACTGTTAAGTTTTTCTACATTGTGACTGTCACTGATAGGAAACTGTTAAGTTTTTCTACATTGTGACTGTCACTGATATAAAACTGTTAAGTTTTTCTGCATTGTGACTGTCACTGATATAAAACTGTTAAGTTTTTCTGCATTGTGACTGTCACTGATA